CGGGCCGCCTGCAGTACTGCTGTCGGCCTGTAGGGGCCGCCTGCAGTACTGCTGTCGTCCTGTAGGAGCCAACTGCAGTTCCGCTGTCGTCCCGTGGCAAGTAGGTATCTCTGCAGCCAAATTCGGAAGGCGTATCTGGGCGGTCATATCTGATTGGACTATAGGAAAATGGGCGTATCTGGGCGATCATATCTGATTGGACTATATGAAAATAGGCGTGTCTGGCCGCATCTGATTTGACGATAGAAAAATGGGCGTGTCTGGCTGGCCATATTTGATTGGACGATAGAAAAATGGGCGTGTCTGGCCGGCCACATCTGATTGGATGATAGAAAAAAAGGCTGAACGATAAAATGCCGTAACCACAGACACATTATGTCTAAAAACAAGGTGTTATTGGCAGATTGTGTTAACCACAGGCATATTATGTCTATGGTGTTAACCGGTTCGACATTAGCGGCGTCTCAGATTCAACACTGGCGGCGTCTCGGTTCGACATCGCTCCAGTATACTGCCGCGGCGTCTCCATAACTTCTTTTTCCGCCTCTCTTAACACAGAACTTCCGGTTACATTTCAAAATAAGAGCAAAATAACTGGGTAGTGGGGAGAGCTAAATGTTAGGTTTTTTTTTAATACCTAGCCATAACATTAAAAAACAAATTCCATTTTGGTTGTTGAAAAATGTGAACAAAGTTACAATCGATTCATAAAGAAAGAAAAATATTAATGATACTTAAACTGGCCTTGGGACAAAGGAGCTTTCCTTTAACTTCACATTTTCTTGTTCAACCTGCAGTCACTGCAGATGAGTGATTGTCAGTTTCTGTAAGATTTCTGCAACTGGAGCAGGTACTTCTGTTTACTGGTTAACTTCCTCAGCTGTCTCACATTTTAAAGGTCAACACTACTCCATGTTTCAGTAGAAAACCAGCACATTTAGGAGTCAGTACATAACCAGACTTTTGGCCCTCACACCTGTACCCAGTTGCTTATGCTGCATGATGAGATCAGATTTATCCATATTTTAGAAAATACATTTAACTTAGTCGACAAAACAATACAAATGAAGACCGTCTTAAAAAAACTCTTGGTTTTGCAGTAAGCAGCCTGATTTCAAACTGACATCTTGGCCAAAGATAAAATAAAAATCTTTGTGTTCTCAGAAAAGTTGTTTCAGGACCTCCAATAAACTTATGTACACATCAAAGCACACAAGACAGATTCAGGAATTCTCTTTGTTTTCCAGATTTCACATTTGTTATTACTTTAAAACATACTCAGACAACATTTGATGCATCATTGAATTTTTTTATTGTGTTTATTGGGACGTCCATTTTTAGAAGTCATCATAGCATCTGTTGGAAACACAGAACATAGTACAGTTAGGGTGTTGCTAGTTGTTACTTAATCCTGGATTGGATTTTAAAGTTAATTTTGATATTTTTTTCACAAGGAAAAAAAAAGATGATTTCCTAAAGTTTAACTATAAATGAAGGAATTTGTACATTCAGGTAATTTAAAATTAAGTAATTTCTCCAACATCCAACCCATTTTAGCCACTGAGCCGTACCAAACACCCATAATCTATTCTTGAATGAATTATTGACTATTATTGACAAATTACAGATTTATTATTGAATAAGTTATTACTCATTATTGAATCATTGACAATTTACACTCATGTTTGTGTTAACTCATGTTGCAACAAGGTCAGCAACTTTTGACTATTACTATGAACTATGTTAAACTTTGGAGGTGATTTATTTTGAAAGTCAACATCAGATGTTGGTCAACATTGTTGGGCAACATCTTGGGGTCTTCTAGAGTCAACCTGAAGTGAGAGTGGTCCCTGACATGGCAGAAAGACATAGATATCATTAACAGCTTTTATTTATTTATTTTTCAGCTAATAACAACTTTTATTTATTTGTTTTTCATATTTTTCAGTTATACTCAGCTTTTAAATATTTATTTTTCAAGTATTAAGAACTTTTATTTTCAGCTTTTATTTTGAAAAGCAACACCCAGTTGTTGTAAACGTGCACAGTGAGAGCTGCTGTGGAGGTTCACTTTACCTCAGTGCGTTACGACAACAACGAGAGAACGGTCGAAACTATCGTGACCTACAATAAACGTACTTCAATAAAATGCATAAGTGAAAACATAGCATACTTTATAAGTACAATAAACCATATTTCTTTGTCAAACATCGCAAAGAAACGTTACCTCATCAAAAATCCTCGTGACTTTGAGGGTTACCCACAACCAATCAGCGTTCGCCGCCGACAAACGCCTATTAAATACTGTTAGCCAATCAGTGTTCGCCGCCCATAAACGCCTATTCGCCAGAAACGCCCACTTTTGGTCTGCAGAGAACCCCTTCTCTCCTGTGGGGGCAGAAGCGGCTGTTGACCGTTTGAATCTGCTCCTTTAGGGCGTCGAGAAAATTTCATCACGTAAAAAGACTAACGCCAAATTTGTGGAGAAAAATAGACTTTATATTGATGTTATTGGCTTTACACTATCCAGTTTAAAAGTCCTCGTTGGGTTTTAAAACCCAAAACTGTTTAGAGAGATCTGTTTGCTGAGTAACAAACAGAGCATCAGTGTTTAGCTAGTTAGCGGCTAGCTGCTAAAGAGAGAGTTGGCCCAAATTAGTTGGGGGTTTTGGATGAATATGCGCTTTTATGAAGTATGGTAAGTTAGTTTATGTAAAGCCAGGTTAAAATGGACCGTAACTTTTATTCTGGTTTGTCGGACGGCTGTGCTCCTGTAGATTCAGAGTTTTTGGATTCCCACACATACGGTGAATACTCTGCAGACATTAAGGTGAGTTCCGTCCACGTGCGTCTGATTCATTAAAAGTATCTGCTGTCAGGTAATTACTGGAACATTCCCATTGTGTTCCAGTTTCCAGAGGACGGGGATAGTTATTTGAGCATCAGTGGAGCAGGGCATCACTTCCTGTCTGCAGAGGTTAGTGTCTAAACTTCAATGTGTCAAATTGGCCTTCCTGTCCTGATCTCTCGTTTTTAACTCAAGGAGACATTTCTGTGTTTTTACCCCACAGCAGACATTCCACACTCCCAGTCTTGGAGATGAGGTTTTTGAGATCCCCCCAATCTCCCTGGATCCAGACCCAGCTCTGGTCATCAGAGATGCAGTGTCTCACTTCGAGCTGACGGATGGATCAGACGGTACCACTGGACCTCTAGGCTCCAGGAGTTTGGTGAGCAACCTGGTGGTGGAGACCAATGACCCCTCCTTTGCCTCCACCTTCGTGAACTCTGGCCCTCAGGCCCTGGAGCAGCTGAACCTGGGGACCATGGGCCCAACTGGAGCAGGGGGAGCCCTGCTGAGCTCCTCTGCACTGGTGAGTACCCAATAAAAATATTTATCTGAAAACACGAGCTAATCATAGATCAACTCCGATTCCTACATGTGTCCAGTTTCACTACTTTTTGTCTGTCTAAACAGATCTCACTTGTAAATGAGACTTCTAGGCTCAGTGTGACTTATCTGTCTAAACAAAGGTTGAATGAATGAAAATGTATTAAGAGTTTATAGAAATTATATTGTGCACGTGTTATAAATTGACTTGCACTTTAAGCACATTCCATGAATTGCCTGGAAAAGTGGTCTGTTTAAAAACTCATGTTGTACCTGATAGATAACAAGGCTCAAACTTAGTTTAAATCATTTAATTTATGACTGGGCAATGATTTCTGAATCATAACAATTTAGGGTTCTCTTTTTTTGTTGTGTGTTTTAAATTTAAGACTTGAAATATTGAGACTGGGTTAATGTTTACTATCTCTGTCAAAAGTCTTTTTGTAATATTTGGTGCTCTGATCTCTCCGCAGGAACTGGGGAACTCCAATGGTTCACATTTCAACAGTTCGTCCCCGATGACCATTGATGTCCAGCTCTGTGACGTGGGTCAGAGCCTTTTGGAAAGCGGTCAGCTCACCACAATAAACCCATCAGAACTGGCTCTGGGTCTCGGTGCTGGAAGCTCTGGGGCACCCGAGCAGCCGCTGTCAGCAACACTGTCTCCTACTGGTTCCCTGCAGGATGAGGACATGGAGGACTTTAAGGTGAGGAGGACCTCATGGACAAAACGTCCACCGTTGTCCTGCTTGTCTCTAAACTTGAGGCTGAATTTTAAACAGGTTTTTTTATTATTACTATTTAACTCATGCAGATAATTTTCAATTCTGTTTCTTTCTATAGCGTTAATTCACAACAGAAGTTGTCTCAGTGCACTGAACACAAACATTTATATATAAAAAACACGTTAACAGAAACATTCATATATAAATAACAAGTTAACAGAAACATTTATATATACATAACAAGTTAACAAACATATATAAATAACAAGTTAACATTAACATTTATATATAAATAACAAGTTAACAGAAACATTTATATATGAAAAACACGTTAACAGAAACATTTATATATAAATAACAAGTTAACAGAAACATTTCATTTAAGTGTCTTTAAGAATCTGTTGGACTCCTGTCAGGGACCAATGCAGACATGTTCCTGTTTTTAGTTTTCTACATTTGTCTTGGAATCTAGCTGTTTTTTGTTTTGTTACCTTTTTCCTTTTAGCCATCCTATTTGTTAAAAAAAAAAAAAAAAAATCTGTAGTATGAGTTTTTTATAACTGTTTATTGTTGTTGCTGTTGTCCATTGTTGTCATCTTTCTTTGTTGAAATCAGGTCTCTCTTGTAAATGAGTCCTCGAGACTCAATGGGATTTACCTGTATAAATAAAGGTTGATTGATTTATATATAAATAACAAGTTAACAGAAACATATATAAATAACAAGTTAACAAACATATATAAATAATAAGTTAACAGAAACATTTATATATAAATAACAAGTTAACAAACATATATAAATGACAAGTTAACAGAAACATTTATATATAAATAACACGTTAACAGAAACATTTATATA